CTTCCACGTGTCAAAGTTTCCCACAGGAGAATGAAGATGCAAGTCTTCAGGATGGATTATGCTGCGTGCTCCTCTCTCACATCCTTTTCCAGGTGCTAGAGACGGGGGCACAGGAGCAGAATTTTAAACCTGGGCGCTGGAAAGGGAGGGTGGGAAGGCTGGGATTCAGAAGATGAGGGCAGATAGTGGAAGAGGGGTGGCAAACATAGTTTGCAAGACTAGAAACTTGCATGACAAGTCAAGGTATTATTGACGTACTGTGTGCACTTGGGCGGAAGAAGAACTTCTTTACTGTGACGGTGACAGAGCAATGGAACAGGCTGCCCATAGAGGTTGAGGAGCCTACTTCTCTGGAAATATTCAAGACCCACTTGGATGCTGTTCTGTGCTACCTGCTGTAGGGAACCTGCTTTAGCAGGAGGTTGGACTAGGAGATCTCTGGAGGTCCCTTCCAACCCTACAATTCTTTGAGACCAGTGTGACTTAAGACTTAGAATTTTCTTATATGGATATGACAAGTTACTTAACCTTGATAAAATCCACACGCAGCAGTAGAAACATTTGCACACAGGCCACAACACATATAATAGTAGTAATGTGAGCATGCAAACAAACAGAGGGTATGGAATCTTACCCACTGCCTGCACCCTACCCCGCTCCACCCTCACCACGGCAAGGGGTGCAGGTCCGCCTGCGGGGTCCTGGGCTCTGCCCACCTTCAATATCACAGTGTAGTTTTGGGGAAGAAAGTGAAAATAACTGCAAAAGTTTAGGAAACCTAAGTGACCATCAGCATGAAAAAGCTGTTGCTCCAGTAGCCATGCTGTGATCTGCTGTTGGGGGAGGGGGATATCAGTTTCTTGCTGTTACCATGTTTGTGCTCATGCTAAGGGCAGGCCAGCTCCACCTGAACCTCCAGCAGCCTTGAGGCATATTCATCCTCCAGGAATTTCCTCTCCATCCAAGAGCTGCTGCAAGCTCCCTTGCCTCATCACTGCAGCTGTAGCATGGGCTACAGTGACATTGCATGGTGCACTGAGCTATGCTGCCTTGGTCTTCACAAAATAAGAGTAACACCATGGCTAGGTTGTACCCACTTGCTTACCTGCATAGCATAGAACTGGCCCCAGATGGTGTCAGACCTATTATAGAATCACAGAATGATTTAGGTTGGAAGGGACCTCAAAGCCCATCCAGTGGGCAGAGTTGCCCCCCACCAGCTCAGGCTGCACAGGCCTGACCTTGAACACCTCCAGGAATGTGGCACCCACAGCTCCTCCAGGCAGTCTCTGCCATTGCCTGACCACCCACTGAGTAAAAAATTTCCTGCTAACATCTAACCTAAATCTCCCCTCTTTCAGTTTAACACCATTTGCTCTTGTTCTTTCAATCCCAGAAGTTCTTTTTGCTTAGTGACAGGAGCCCATGGCTCACTCTTCTGTTCCTCTATCTTTGCCCCTGTTCTCAAGCCCACTAGCAGCTCCCTACACTGCAAAAGCTCTAAGTCATAAAATCATAGAATGGCTCAGGTTGGAAGGGACTTCAAAGATTATGGATCTCCAACCCCCCAGCCACAGGCAGGGCTACCAACCTCCATATTTAATACTAGACCAGGCTGCCCAGGGTGCCATCCATCTTGGCCTTTGTATGGGATCTGCTGAGTCACGGCCTGAACCTCTGATTGATCACCTGAGGCGAGCAGTGAGGCAGCCAGAGGAGCACAGGTGAAGGCAATTCTCCTGTGCTGCCGGAAGGGGTGGAGCCTGGCTGCACCCCTGCTAGACCTATTTAAGAGCTGGCTACCAGAGGGGAAGGATCTCTTTGGGGGATCTGCTCTGCTGGAGTTTTCTAAGTGAGCCCAGGATGGGGGTATGCTTTCTATCTCTTCTCTTTTTGCTATCGTTATCTGCTTTGCCAAGCTCTCTTGTTTATTTTGTAATTATAGCATCTTAATATTCATTGATTATACAGCCTTGAATGCCACTAGGGGCAGGGCATCCACTACCTCTCTGGGTAAGTCATAGTGAGTACTCCAGAAGCATCATACCTTTCTGCAGTACACTGTTCACCAGCTCCCTGCAGCTATAACTAGCCTGCTTGGCAAGTAAAACATCCTCCCAGCAGCCAAGGGCTTAGGATGAAACTGTTTTGAAAGGTGCTGTTTCCTACCCTGCCCACTGTAGCCTTCCTGTGGGTTATGTGATCTTCCGAGAAAGCAGGAAGAAATTTGAAGCAGGGTCTGGAGCACCTCTTCTTCAAAGGAGAGCTGAGGGAACTAAGCTTGTTTAGCTTGGAGAAGGCTCTGAGGAAACCTCCCTGTGGCCTTCCTGTACTTTAGGGAAGCTTATAAACAAGAGGGAAACTGACTTTTTACATTGTCTAATAGTGAAAGGACAAGGCGAGTGGTTTTAAACTAAAAGAGGGGTAAGTTAGGTTATACATTAGGAAGAAATCATTTACTCAGAGGGTAGTGGATGCCCCATCCCTGGAGGCATTCAAGGCCAGGTTGGATGGGATCCTGGGCAATCTAATCTGGTGGGTGGCCACTCTGCCTGTGGCAAGGGAGGTTGTAATTGGATAGGCTTTACAATCCTTCCCAAACTAAGACATTCTGTGATTCTTTGACAGAATACTTTCACTTAGGTTATTTTAGGATGGAAGGAAGCTCAGAAGGTCACCCACAGGCACTGAAAGTAGGGCTGACTTCCTACTGAAACTGCTCCTATTAGTAGAGAATGATTAGGGCTTTATGGGGCAGAGGAAGGGAAAGGGAAACTTGAGCCCAGTGGCTTAGACACCCACCTTGGCTCCTCTGTAGGGTTTTGAGATCCTGTAGGGATGGGTAGCGATGTATCTTCTTGTCCATGCTGATGTAGCAATTCTAGGTGGAAGATCCCTTAAGTTTTGCTCAAGACTCCAAGGACGGAAGGATCGTTTTCCCTCTTTTCTGAGGATCCAATCTGAGTCACCCACGCTTTCCCCCCCCTTGCTTGCTAAGCCAGTCTTTAATGTTTTCTTCTCATAGCCAGGACACTCTCCAGGATTTGAATCACTTCTTGCTGAGCTGGGAACTAAACCCTTGGTTTCTCCTGGGAGCAGTATGCAGGTGCTGCCTACACTCAAAGCTGTGCTTTCTTTGCGAGGGGCAAAGGATAGAAAAGGAGCTGTGATGTCAAGTATTCCAATAGTGGGGTAGAACCACCCTTAACTCACCATAAGCAAAGCCATGCTGGCGTTTCATTCCTTTCCTTGAAAGCAGAGAAGACAAGGAGTGGACTTAGTCACCACTTAACTGGTATGACAACCTGTTTTCCCCAAGGCCACACAATGCTACTCAGGCTGCATTGTTTCCATTGCCACTTAATTGCTTTCACAATTGAGTGAGTCTTCCTGCAGTCAGATTTCCTCCTGACATCTGGGCACATCAAAATGCTGATACATTTCTGCCAGCTGTTGCTTTGTAAGTGAGGTGGTGATATTTTCCACTTTTGGTGTTCACTGGAATGTGCAAACAGTGCAGTTTTCAGATCCTTAATAATAAGAATTTTGTGCATAAAATAACGTTTGTTGACTGACTTAAGTGTATCACATCAAGCTTCAATTTAGTGTGGGCTAAAAGCTTTTTCAACAGTGTAGAAGCCCCTACTGTTATTATAGGCTCTCCCTGTGGGGAGTAAAATAATGGTGCCAACAGTACTGTTCAGAATGGATATAACTGTAGTTACTGTAATTAAGTTCACAAATTAAAAAAAAAAAAAAAAAAAAAAACCAAAAACCTTTACACTAAAATAGTTTTACTGGTTAAATATTTTAAGCACAGAGCAGTGAGGTGGTTTTTCTGCGTTTGCATGAGGGACCACAGTGGTATGCTGGCAGAAGAAGTTCATAGAATAGCAAAATACTGAGATTGCAGGGGAAGAAGGTGCTAAGGCAACAGAATCTTCAATATGACGAAGATTTATTCTTTTCAGATGTATTTTTTTATGGCATGATAGAGTGTTTAACAAATCTGTACATTCACATAGTGGTGCAAAAAAGAGGCTTGCATGAAATGGCACAGCTTATTGGTAGGATTATAGAAGCTTCTTTCCTTTTTTCTGCACTAAGAAATGATTCAGATCGGTGCAATTTGTGGCTGTAATGACAAGGGAGTGGGCTGGGCTCTGTTGCAGTCTTAAGTTAGTTTGTGTTGCGCAGTGTCAGAATTCACCTGAGCTAGGCTGGAAGCTTGGTTCTTTGTATTGCAATGCTAAATATTGGAAAATTGGTCAGGTAGACAACCAGTTGACACCAATTTAGTAATGTATTTGAAGAAACATTGAGAATCTGTTCCTCAGACAATAAGCCTGCATGACCACAGAGCCAAGTGTTTCAGGGTCAGGCCATGTCTGCTGTGTGTCTCTTGGAAGATGCAGTTGGGCCAAGGTTTCAGCAACCCTTGGGGCCAAGCGGTTAATGCTACCAAACTTCCCCACAAAAACTGGGGGGAATTTCCTTTGAGTGTCTTGGAAAAAAAAAAAAAAGTTCTGCCTAAAACAGCTGCTCTTCTCCATTACCTTTGGCCAGAGCAAGCTGGGGTAAGGAAATGACTGCTATTGCCAGTTAATTGTGAATGAAGGTAATGCCTGGTGCTTTTGGAAAGGTTTTTGGTCGTCTTTCCAGTCAGACTGAATCAATTTGTTCATTTTGTTCTTCAAGCAAAGCAGCTGTAGAGTAAATTCCACCTGGGGAGCGAATGAGCTTTCTCTTTTGCTTCTTGCAAAACAGTCACAGGCGAGGCTGCCTGTTCTTCTGCAAGGAAGGCCAACATGCACCAAAAAGAAAGACAGTGATGCAATAGGAAAATATTTAGATGCAATGTTCTGCTAGGAGCCTTCCTGGCACAAACATCTTATGAAACCTTGCAACTACTCCTTTTGCCTTCAGGAAAAGGAAGTAGGAAGGAAAGGGGTGTCAACATCTATTTGAACCAAAATACCAGTGAAACCTCTGCTGACACAGACTTTTAGTAATGATCAAACAAGAGCAGAGGAGATTGCCCCTACTCGTTTTCCCAAAAGAGCAGAGCCTAGTTGATCATTGACCAAGCCAAGCCGAATGAGCAATCCACCACCGTTGTTATTCCATGTACTTGTAGTGGACTAACAGGAAGATGGTTGAGGATCCAAAGCGAAAACCCCTCTTTGTCCTCGCTGGCATCTTGCTGCTTAGCTCAGCACAAGCAGGTAAGCAAAGGCATGAATGCATGGCAAGGGATTGAAGGCTTTACACAGAAGGATCTGACTTAAATTCTCCCCAGCATACCTGTGTTTCTACAGGTCTTTGCTGTAATCCAATTAGACATCAGGAGAATGGCCAGCACAGGAAAAGTCTTTCATTAACCCATCTGTCTCAGTGATTTTACTCCACTAACATGATTTAAAAGGGCATTCCAGAATTGTGCTGAAGTGCAGGGAAGTGGAAAAGAGACCACTTGACCTCTGGCACTGGCAACTCCTGATCTGAAGGCTGAGCAAGTAATCTGCAGTAGCTGAGGGAAAATAAATAAATGCCATACCTCCACTTCTTGCTTTAGTTGGGATTTTTTTTTTTTGCTCTCACAAGCCTCCTCCCCTGATGCCATTTCTGATATGCTCTGCTTTTACTAAGCATGCCCTTTAAGTAAAGCTAGTTCATGAGCAGCAGTTTTTCTGAATGGCTGCCAGAGAATGTGTTTCCATTTTTTTTTTCTCTGGTTCACAGAAAGACCAGAAAAGACAACAGTAGGGACAGCTGCATCCCACGAGGGGAGATCTGAATACCAAATTTTGTTGTTTTTTTTGTGTGTGTGTTTACTCTTGGGCTGTGTTCCTTCTCACTACTGTACAATATCTTCTGTGGGAACAGACAGCAGTTGGGAGCTGGTTGTTTTGTTTTTTGTTTTAACTGAACTTGTAGTTTTAAGGCTGTTTCACTTCCTCTGGTCTAGAAAGGAAAGGAATATGAGTTGTCATTTTATCAGGATGCAACTATGTCAGTTCACAGAGTAACCATTTTTTAAGTCAGGAAGGATCGTTTCATCAAATATTTGGCTTCCTGCTCATCACATGTCAATAAATTTTGTCTTTTGTCAATCCAACATGTTGCCTACTATAACCATTCTGAAATAGCAACCAGTTCTCTAGAATGTCAAAAGATGGAGTTCTTTTCTGGATTACCTGTTCTACTAGCTAACCATACACACCACGTAGGTCTGCTATGTAGGTCTTTCCCTGATTTATAGCCAAAATTTATGCAGTTTTGTACTAGTTGTTTGTGGATTTTTTGTTTTTTTTTTTTTCTTTTTTTTTTGATGGCTTGATGGATTTTTTTTGTTGTTGTTGTTTTCATTCATATCTCAGTTAAACAATTCTCAGAAGTCCACAGACATCCACAGTTTTCTTCCCCAACACTCCAATTCCATCAAAGGGCAGAACAGCTTCTTCAGGAAATAGTTGTTTTTCAGAATGGGCTGATTTTAATGTATGTTTTAGCCTTTCACTCTTTATTAATAGAACCAGATTCCTAGTGAATTAGAATGAGCTTTTTCTTCCACTGTACAGACACAGGCCAAATATTCTTACTCCCTCTCATTGCAGGGAACGTATACAGAACCTCAGGGCATCGCTGTGCTGATTTCCAGACGGCAAATTTCCTACATGGCAGTAAGCTTAATGTCCAGTTTCTTCTATTCACCTCCTCCAGCCCTAGCTGTGGGGAGCTAATTTTGGCTGATGATGGCATCAAGAACTCCAGCTTCAATAGCAGCCTGGAAACGAAGATAATAATCCATGGGTTCAGGTGAGAGAAAGAAGAGTATTATGGTTAAATTTATATTCATAAATTAAACGGACAGGGCATTCCCAGGCCCTGTGTGGGGCTGGCATGGAAATCCCCTGCCTATCTGACAATTGAACTCTCCCCAGCAGTGACTACATTTGAAAAACCTGCTAATAGCAGAGCCTGGTGTGCTCAGTGCCAAACTGTACCTAAGAACTGCCTGTGAGAGTGTAGGTGGGACAGAGTCAGGGGTGGGAAAAAATGCTTTTGACAACTCTCTTTACAATGCAACCTTCATAGAATCATAGAATGTCTTGATTTGGAAGGGACTTTCTGAAGATCATCTAGTTCTAATCCCTTTGCCATGAACATGGCTGCCGACTACTAGATCAGGCTGCTCAAAGCCTCATCTAATCTGGCCTTGAATACCTCCAGGAATGGGGCATCTACAGCTTCTCTGGGCAACTTGTTCTAGTACCTCAACATCCTCTGAGTAAATAATTTATTCTTAACATCTGAGTTAAATCTCCACTTTTAGTTTAAAACCATTCCCCTTGTCCTACCACTATCAGACTGCAAAAAGTTTTGCTTCCTCCTGTTGGTAAACTTCAAGTACTGGAAAGCTGCAATGAAATCTCCCCAGAGCCTTCTCCTCTCCAAGCTAAACAAGCCTAGCTTCCTCAACCTTTCTTTGTAGGTGAGGTGCTCGAGCACTCTGGTCATCTTCATGGAGTTCCTCTGGACCTGCTCCAACAGCTCCACATCCTTCCTGGTGGCCCCTGTCCTGAGTGCAGTATTCTAGATGAAGCCACCCTTCTTTTAATGCACCCCAGGATACAGTTGACTTTCTGGACAGCAAGCAGTGAGAACTGCTGACTTATGTCAAGCTTTTCACCCATCTGAATTCCTAAGTCCTTATCTGCATAGCTGCTCTCCAGGATTTCTTCTCCTAGTCTGCATTAGGCCTTGTTGAATCTCATTAGGTTCCTTTTCAAGACTGTCTACATCAGTCTGAATGACATCCTTTCCTTCTGTTGTACCAACTGCACCACTCAGCTTGGTGTCATCAACAAACTTGCTAAGGATACAATTTAAGTCTGTCACTGATAAAGATGCTGAAGAGCGCCAGTCCCAAGACTGACCCGTGATGGACACCACTCATCACCAGCCTGCACCTGGGTGTAGAACCACTGACGACAAACTTCTTGCAACAACCATTCAATCACTTCTTTATCCTCTGAATAGTTCACCCTTCAAATCTGTGTCTCTCCTATTTAGAAGTAAGGATGTGGTGTGGGACCATGTCAAAGGACTTGCAGAAGTCCAGGTTGGTTATCATCCGTTGCCCTTCCTTTGTCCACCAATGTCACTCCTTCATAAGTGGTCAGGTGTGATTTGCCTTTGGTGAAGCCCATATTGGCTGTCTTGGATCACCTCCTCATCTTGCATATGCCTTTACATCTCTTCCAGGAAGATCTGCTCCATGAACTTCCCAGGCACAGATGTGAGGCTTATTGGCCTGTAGTTCTCTGGGTCTTGCTTTCTTTGTTTTTTAAAAATGAGTGATGTTTTCCTTTTTTTGGTTACCAAGTACTTTGCCTGACAGCCATGATTTTCCAAGTATGATGGAGAGTCACTTAGCAACCACATCAGTCAGTTCTTTCAGGACCCTAGAATGCATGTCATCTGACCCCATAGACTTGTATACATTCAACCTCATGAGGTAGCCTCAGACTTGCTCTTCTGTTAAAGCGGGAGGAATATTGCTGCTTCAACCCCCCACCTCGAGGTTCAAGGACATGAGAGACATGCTGCAAACATTGGTGTAGAGGCACTTCAGCTGGATTACGGGCTGTTTTACCTTCCTGGAGAAGCCTTCCCCAAGTCACCTGGGACAAATCAGAGGGTTTTTTTGCTGCTTCCTAAAATGACAGTGTTCTCTGACTCTTCTCTGTCATTTAAAAGTACATCCCTCTCCCACATCAAATCCAGTTTAAAGCACTGGTGGTAATCCCAGCCAGCTTGCTGTCAAATATATTCTTGGCCCTGCTGGTCAGTTGCATCCTATTCACATCAACATGCCCAGTCTGTTGAAGGTATGTCCAAGATCATAGCAGCCAAAATTATTAGCACAATACTGTCCATGCCGCCATTCATTCAACTGATCCATTTTCCTCCTTCTATCTTGGTCCCAAACACCAACTGGAAGAATCAAGGAGAACACTATCTATCCTCCCAATCCTTTTGGCATTCTCCCAAGGAACATAAAGTCTTTTTAAAAAATTTTGCAATTTTCATGTTGCAGCCTCCTGAGACCCAACCTTAAGTAGTAGGAGCGTGTGCTTTACTGTGCGACTAACTGTCTATTTTTTGTTTCATGTTTTTGGACCTAAAACAAGTTAGGAAATTATTTTCCCTATTCCTTTTCCCCCCCTTTCCTTTCCAACTTTCTTTCTTCTATACCTTTATTCATTCTTTATTTCACTCTTTTTTTCTCTCTCTCTCTTTACCTGTTCCCTTTCCTTTCTCTTCCATTTTTCTTTCGATCTTTTTATTTAGAAGTCTTCAAGATCCTCTTCTCTTAAAATTGTTTCCTTGCAGAACCTTGATGTTCATCAGAAGCCTGGATTAGCCAGTCATTTAGAATCCCTGCCAGTACTTCTAATGTTGAAAATGTAGGGATGTAAACCAGCTTTTTTTTTTTTTTTTTTTTTTTTTTTTAACTGTCACCATATTGGTTGCTTCTTTCACACTGCCATTTTTTAGCCAGCTCTGACCATTTAATATTATTTGATTTGATGTGCAAAAGTTTGAATGACAAGTGCCTAGAAAACCAGGATGAAACTTTTGAATGCCTTTGGAGGCATTCAAGGCCAGGCTGGATGTGGCTCTGGGCAGCCTGGTCTGGTGGTTGGCAACCCTGCACATAGCAGGGGGGTTGAAATTAGATGAGTATTGTAGTCCTTTTCAACCCAAGCTGTTCTATGATTCTGTGGAACCACACAAGGAGTTGCAGGGTCTTTTCAGAAAATCAGCAGTTCCCCTCACATGACATAGTGTACTCCTACCCCAGGTTATAGTAGGGGAAGTGGGTAGTACACAGGCTCATTTGCTCAGTGCAGCAGTGATAGACTGTGTGGTTTGACCCAGGACTTCCTCCTGGTTGGCAGCAGAACAGGACCAGGTTCCTGGTCAGTTCACTCACTCCAGGTGGGCTCTGTGGCTAACTGGAACACCACAGCAAGACCAAGGTCTCAGCCCAAGCTCTACAAACGTTCTTCTTGGTTGGTTCCTTTCTGAATCAACCCATTCTGGACAGTGTTTATTACTACACTGCAGCAATGACATGCCAGGTATATGCATCTGGCACCAGAACAACTTTTCAGCAGCTGTCTGACAGTCTACTCTGAGACATATGAAACAGCATCAGCGAACAATATTTTGTCACATGCCCTTCTTTAGAAAACACCTAACATATTTGTTTCTGATTACTCTGCAGAGCATTGGGTACAAAACCTTCCTGGATTGAAGGGCTTGTCCATGCAATATTGCACATAAGTCAGGTAAATGTGATTGCAGTGGACTGGGTTCATGGGGCTACAGGAGCCTATAACTCGGCAGTGGAAAACGTCACGCAGGTGGCCCTCTTCATCACAAGCTTCATCAGCAAGCTCCTGGTAAGCTCATGCATAGCGCTGTTGAACAACCCTTACGCAGTGAGGATGGTATATCTTTGCATTTACCAGCCATGCATAAACTCTGTGTAGCATTTGCACCGTAGACCCTGGCTGTAGTGTGGGAGATCTTGGGTATGCTCCAGAGTGTGTATTTACACTCCTGGAGCAACTGTGACATCAGGAGGGTGAGGATAGGGCTGGGAGGGGAGAGGTCTGCCACTCCCATTAGTGATTTGGTCACAGTGGACAAAGTACTGGGCCACTCTGGTCCTCAGCATCCATCCTGTGTAAGTGCTGAGCTCTAGTCCAGCTACTTTAGGACTTTTTTGTCCAAACTCTCCTGCTTACACCACAGAAGACAAATTCTAGTTTCTCATAAGCCTCAGTGCTGCTGTAGGATGTAACATCACATATTTCTAAGGTAGGATTTTTCATCTCACTCCCATGGTCTCATTCTCACCCATTGTATTCCACTGCATCGTGCTGAACAGCCTGCAGCCAGCAGGATCCCTTCAGATACAGTCACCTTACGTCATGTCTAAGTGACTATGCTTTACCTGGCAGTTCAACCTATGAATAAATCCTTTGTCTCTGAAAATGTAATCTTAAAATAATGAGTGAGAGTACAATGTGCACAATAGTGGTATAAAAGTGAAACAAAATTATTTCCTCTGTTTTACTGAGGAAAAGATTGTATGGGGGAACATGAGTTATTCAGCTGAGGAAGTTCTATCTGAAGCAAACCATGAAAGGAGGAGCAAAAGGCTATGTAGTCATGATCAGAAGTATCTGACCAACCTGGTTAGAGCTGGTTTTGCATGTGTGGACCAAAAGAAAGACTCTGAAAAGCAGAAAGGACAGTAGCCATCATTCCCACATCTAGTTTGTTCTCCACTGTATACCTCAAAAGCAATCCTACATGAGAAGAGTTGTGGAGCTGCTGGGTATTTCACCCTCCTTCTATAGAAATACATATTTGTATGATCATCTGCAGGCCCTGGGAGTCTCTGCAACATCCATTCACATTATTGGTGTGAGCCTTGGTGCACATGTTGGGGGCCTGGTTGGGCACTTCCATGATGGTCAGCTGGGACGGATAACAGGTATGGTAAAACTGAGACTTAGGTCCTGATTTCTTATTCAACGAAGAGAATGCAGTGTCAGGGACAGGTAGTCATCCATAGTGGTCTTATAACTGTATGAAGGCTCACTCGATCCAAGCTTCAGGGATTCTTACTAGCTTCTAAAGATCCTGACAATACTTTCCAGCCATCAATCCCCTCCACAGTACCAAAAGAATGCGTAACAGAAGAATTTTGCCTCTACTCTCTTCTAACTAGTGAGCTTTCCAAGTCGTGAGATCTTGTTATTAGTGAAATGACACGTCACTCAGTTGTACCAAATCAGAGCTGACTTGAAAACATACAGCTGAAGTCTTAGGTGTGAGGAAGAGATTGCAGTGGGGGAATTACAGATAAAGATGGTTAGAGGCTGATCATGGCATGCAGGGCTTTTAAATTCATGCAGGGTCCTCCAGCTTTTAAGTATGGGTTGGAATAAAGTCACACAACAATTTGGGTGAAAAGGGACCTTGGAAGGTGTCCTGTCCAGCCTCCCACTCAAAGCAGGGCTGTCTGCTAAGTCAGATCAGATTGTTGAGGGTTTGTCAAGTTTGGGAAAATTCCAAAGCTGGAGATTTATCTTAGTCGGAGTGAAAGGAGGAAGAGACACAGACTGAGCAGCAGCCAAGGAAGAACAGGGTGTAGGCAGAACATGGTTCCCAGTCTGCTTCAGCCCGTGCTGAGCTGCCTCATAGAAAAGGCCTCAAGAAGAGACATTCCACAGGAAATGTTGGTTCCCCACTCGCATGTCATAGCTTCACACATTGCATGTACTACAGGCATTTCTTACCAGGAGCAGAGTTTCACAATGGGCCCCTGTTAAAGCTGTGAATGAAAGTGTACGTTCAGAGGGATTTTGGGTAACCATCATCCTGTACCAGCATTTTCTCATCAGCTTCATTTTGAGATGACTCCTTCCCAACACAGTTGGAGACCTTTGCCTTTATGTTCTTCAAACCTAATAACAGATCTATGTATCCAATTTATTTTTAGCTCTACTAGAAGTCTCTTTAAACCATGCTTATTCCTGCAGATTCCTCATTGTGCAGGAAAGAAAATGGAATGGGAATGAACAGCCCATATCTAAAACTGCTGAAGAAAAACTTGTTTCTGGAGGAGAAAAAGAGGAATCCTGAAGGAATTTAGCTGCATGTAGTACAGCTAAGGTGAATAGTGCAGGATGTATGTCTCTGTACATGCAGTTGGTGCTGGGAAGTGGTGGAAATCCCATCCCAGGAAGTATCTGAGAGATGGGTAGACGTAGGACTCAGGGACATGGTTTATTGGCAGACTTGGTAGTGTTGATGATTGGCCCTAATGGTCTTAAGGGCCTTTTCCAACCTAAATGATTCTGTAATTCTGTTCATGGAGGAGACCAGAGAAAACAGAGGATGGAAATGGGCTAACCTTGGAACTGTGCTAGAACTGGCTTGTTTGTATTAAATGTTTCTCCCTCCTCAGGAAGAACTTTGAAGTGTACTGACTAACGCTTTTTATTCTATCCTAAAGCCTTTAACTTAAACTTGCTCTGTAGAAGTGAGCAGGGAACATCTCAGCTTTTAGCATGGGACAAGGCAAAAGAATGTGGATGACAAACAAAAGCAGTACATTCTTCTGACCACTTGTCCCTTTAATAGCCTTTATTTTTAGATAGGACAGTATTTTTAGTAGGACAGGAGCTAACTTTTCTTCTTTCTCCTCTTCTCCTCCTCCCTGCTTCCACACATAGACGCAAATATGTCGGTTTGTATTTTGTTGATAACACCTTCTCCATAGAGAATTAATGGGACTTAGTCCAAAAGGCAATTAAACTGGCCAGCTCTGAGGCAGTGTTACAAGGAGCAGAGCTGCTTCTTAAAGCATTGTTGGTGCCTGGGGAGTGAAAAAGGTCTTGCGAGGTTATTTTCCAAAGCAAAGTGAACAGAATAAACATCAGCTACAATAAAAACATGATCTTTAACCTGTTCTTGGTACTGCCAAAGAAAATTTGCAGTATTACTCTGTCTCCTCAGAATTTGCTCTAGGAGCAAGTTACAGGCAAAAATATCAGTGGATGCTTGAGAACTTGATTTTATTTCTTGGGAGAAGGCTCAGAAGTATTTCTATTATAAGACTGTCTGATAGCATTGAACCTTTGTAAAGCTTAGGTTGATTAACACCTACAATGCTGAATTCATCACTAAGCTTGAGATCTCCAGTAACATTGCTCAGGCTGTAGCACTACTACAGATGACAGTACAATTAGGGAAGGTGTTACAGGTTTGAGTCTCTGTCACTGAAAATCCAAAATATACTCTGCCCCTACTCTGTTAGAGGTACTTGAAGCTCAGACATGGCTTTAAAGCCTAGAAATTTGAGGCTTCATGGGCTGCTTGGTACGGAGCTGCTGCATGGGAATGGATGGCTAGGAGCAGTGGAGGACAAGGTAAGGAAGCTGCAGTGGAACTTAGTGGGAGCAGAAAGCTTTCTGAGCTATGATCGATGCAATGAGGGAATAATTAATCACTTGTGCCAGGCATCAATTAAATAAACAATTTAAATAAAATTACTGGTCCAGAAATAAGAAAGGGAGGGTCTGAAGGGCATTTGTTGTTGGGCTGTTTGATTTCGTTGCAGGCCTGGATCCTGCAGGCCCTAAATACACCAGAGCCAGCCTGGAAGAACGCCTGGACCCTGGGGATGCCCTCTTTGTGGAAGCCATTCATACCGATGCTGACAGTAAGCTGGCTTCTTTCCTCCTCAGCTCGCCATGTCTGTTTGTCCTGCCATTGTTATTGCTAAGAACCAAGCAGGTTATTGTCCCATTTATGCCACGTGACTACAAGTTCCGGTCCAGTCTGAGGATGTTCCCCGATTAGACAGGCTTCAGAGATGAACACACTGGCAGGCATCCATACCCCAGAGCACATCACAGCAACAGGTGGGAGCTTTAGTGTTGTAAACACAGGGCAATCTTCCAGCACATATTTCTTCCCTAACCTTGCTACAGAGGAGTGAGTTTCTGCAGAACAAGCTCAGTGTGCTTTTTGCCACTTGCAAGGAAGGAATTTACGTGTCTAACCATGCTTTGCTTTTGCTTACATTACAACAGAAAGGTGCCACTGTGAGAAAGTAATGGAGTCAAACCCACAGCTGTTGCAGCAATGGACTAACTTTCCTAAAACACTTATGTTCTGCTAATTAAAATGTGCTAAAATATAAACATTTGCCTCTCAGTCACACCTTTTGCCTGGAGACCACAAAAATCTCTACTAACATAATTCTCGCTCATTCCTCATAATTCCCTATGAAAGTTGTGTTCAGTTTTGCTCTGCTTTATACAGGATCAAGAACAGGAATGATGGAGATAGTGGTTAAGACAAAGCTGCCAGTCATTTTTATGGCAGATCCCAGAGCAACCTCTGCTCCATGCAACAAAGCCAGGGCATCTGAGAAGGAACAGGAAATACGTTCTTGCTGTGTGGGTCATGGGGGAGCTATGTCTGGTACTGTTCACATTCAACCTGTTATTGGGCCCTGTCAAACACCATGCAGAGTACAGCCTACGGTACTACTGAGCATAGGACTAAAGTTGCATTTCATCCACTTTCAGATTTTGGGATCCGGATCCCTGTTGGACACATCGATTATTTTGTCAATGGAGGCAAAGATCAGCCAGGATGCCCCCGGTTCATCTCTGCAGGTGAGAACATTCTGTGGCCAAGCAAAGAGATTTTGTGGACGTTTAGCAATCAGTGGAAATGCTGTGTGGCAACCAGCTCCTGCCACAGTCAGAGCAGACGTCAAAGCATGACAACATTTATTTGCAAAGACACATGGCAGCGGAGATTCATGGCCCACATCTCCTCAGCAGCACAAAAAGCAGCTGGAATTAAGACCACATATAAGTCAAATGTCTTGGCAGCAAGGGCTGGATTAAACACCTTCTGGTTGAGACAGCTACACTGAGGGTAGGGTGGCCTAGGAAACCTCACTTCCCATAGCTGGGTCATGGTGCAGATGGGAAGCAAAGCTATTGCCTTTTTACAGAGGGTTTGGGTCCTCGTCAGTGGCACAATGAGTGGGACAGGGCAGCCATGTGCCCCTCTCAGTATGAAAGACAGGCTCCCAGGTTTCTGCATGATTTCTGTTGCGGTGAGATCTAGGTTTGCAGTCACAGAGATGTTCTACAAAACGTTATTTTGCAGAGTGGAAGTGGCTGCAGAATCTATTTCTTGACTTTTTGTTCCATAGGAAGCTGCAGAAAGGTCAAAACCAGCTGAAAAGCTGATAGCTGCTTTTTTCTGCATGCCTTTATTCCTGCAGGCTACAAGTATCTGATCTGTGATCACATGAGGGCAGTACATCTCTATGTCAGTGCCTTGAAACATTCCTGTCCTATCGTGGCATTCCCTTGCACAAGTCATCAGGATTTTTTGAATGGACGATGCGTGGACTGTGGTGATCCCTTCCTATTCTCCTGTCCCAGAATAGGTACAGTATCAGCATGAGGCCTTCATGGAGCAGGGGGCAATACATTCTTGATGAGTGCCAGCACAACCCACAGGACGTGATTGAAATTTTTCCAAGCAGGATCTGAATGTGAGCTATGTGGGGACACGGAGAAACTGTGTCATTTTCAGGCTTCAGTAGAGAGGTCAAATGCTTGTATATTGTCCAAGGTAGAGCATCAGTGTCTTGAACATTTCTGATCTTTAAACATTTCACAGGGTCATACTAAAAGACATTCTCCAGAATCTCTTACCTAGCAAATGGGCAATTTGCTCAAAAAGTGTCTTGTTTAGAGAAGCAGCTGGAAGTTTTAGCCCAACCTGAAAGTCTCAGTCTTCTGCAGACTACTTACCTTTGTTGCATCACTTCCTTCTCATAAATTGCTGCTATGGCTGCCCTAAAGATAAACGACCTGGACTGGGAGAAGATAATCTTTGCCACTTTTAGCCTTTTGAATCACAGCTGTGGCAAGAGGAAAGGAAGTGTCCTCAAGTAGCTTTTGGTGACCGGTACCAGAGGAATACACAGAGAGGCTCTCAGATCATCCACTCCCTTCCTGTCTTGCAAAGCCACACTGTCACCTGGTTAGTGGGTTTGTGTCTTCTCACTTTTACCAGAAATACCATCTCCAAGCTCCTTGGGTCTCCTTTGTCCTAGCACCTTGTGTTGGCTTGCGTCTGCACAAAGCCACTAAGAGGTACATTGCTGATGGTTAGCTACAATAGTAAGAGGAGATTTTCTGGGGGCCTGTTAACCTGTCAAACAGACACCACAAACCTCTTGCTTGCTTGCTTGCTCTAGTATAAAGAAAGGGTCTGTCCTCCAAGACAATGACGTTGGGAGTGAAGGTAAATTGGAACCAATTCTGTTTCTGTCCTGGGTCCTTCATGGCTCTCACTGCTCTGGCTTTGTTTCCTCCCACAGGCCTGCTAGAGCAGGCAGTTGTCAACATGAGAAGGCTGCCTATGAAAGTGAACGCTTATTTAATGACCAGTTCTTCGGTGCCATTCTGTGGTAAGTAGCAAAGACCAAAAAATGAGCCAGAAGGGGGATGACCAAATAAGGCAGACTATCTGGCAAGGCCTAGTAGTGACAGCCTACTATTCCCATCAGAATCAGCTGCTGTGGAGCTGATGATCCCAGACACATAGCTGAAGAGCAATAACCCTGCACATCTCCCCCATAAAGCCCTTTCCAATGGATTTACTAGTGTGGGCACAGCCTCGTATTAACACAGCCACATGGCTTCAGGGCTGAATTGAAGGGTACAGAAAATGCCTGACTGTTCACATCAGAGTATGCAGATCTGCCCACTGTGTCTCTCAAAGACTACGTTCTTTCCCACAGACTACGTTCTTTCTTACACCTGCTTAATCTTAGCTGTGCTGGTGGTGCCAGGCAGTGAGTGCTAGAAATTACTCCTTTTGGTAGGGTAGGTCTAACACACAGCACCTGCCCTCACTCCCACATACTTTCCCTCTTGCTCAGTTCACCACAGCCTCATTGAGTTCCGCTTGCAGAAGAAAAGAAATGTAATCACCAGCATTGAAATCACTTTCTTCAGCAACAGCACCAAGGACACGACAAAGATCACCATGTGAGTTACAGTGCATGCAGCTTGCTTTTTCCCAATTCCATGTATAAGCATGTTTTTCCCAGACCAGGAAAGGCATAAGGATGGAACATCTCCCTGAGTGCAGCCACTGTGTGATGAACCACAGTCTTTCTTAAGTTCCTACACGTTTACCTTAAATGCTTTCAAGAATCAGGTATGTGCTACCACTACTTGGTAACTCTGATGAAGTCCACAAGTACACAAACCAAGAAGTGTACTCTGGGATCCCCTTTGTACTGTTACAATGATTCCTTTTTTACATCATACCCATATGCCTGGTGCTGATTTAAATCACCCTCAGATAGTTATTAATCCTACCACGCCAGACAGAGCTGGCTACAGCAACACCCAATTCACTGGAGGTTCTAGACTGATGGACTTGCCTCAAACATTTCTGTTGATGCTCATAGGACAGCAGTTGCAGAAAGAAAGCAAATACATCCCTGCACAGTCAGATATATGTTCAGAAGTACACTTCTGTCTCTGCATTAACACCAACATGTGCCATAGCCCCCATTGTAGGGGAGAAATCCATTGGGTAGGAGACCAAGACTACATGATTTAGTATGCATGGTGGCGGTGGGTCGATGATTGAACTACATGATCTTAGTGACCTTTTCCAACCTTGAAGATTTTATGATCTGTAGACAGTCAGTTCTCTCTTGCCACCACCACTCTCTTCCAAACCATAACTGAATTAATAGACCAAATAGACCAGGCTCAGAGCTTCCAGCCTCTGCCTCAAGGGGATCTCTCCACCACAGACAAGTTCCCCAGAAGGAAGTCTTCCTCACTTCTTCTCACAACTTCCTGTCCACTGCCAGGGGCTGGTAACCACCACGTAGATATGCAGTGTCAGAAAGCTGGAAAGCAGTCTGCTAAAGACCCCAGCCAGCTCTCCTAAGTTCAGAAAGGATCCAGAACTGGCTTCAACATAGCCCTTATGAAGCCAAACCTAACTCTGTTGATCTGATCCTGTGCATTAGGACAGAGAGGTGAGAACTGAAGAATGGGAGGCCTACGCGGGAGGGGGGAGGGGGGGGCTTGATTATGGTTTTCAGACTAACACTGCAATTTAGAGTTCATACTCCAACCTGATGGAACTCACATCTGTCCAACTCCACAGTGAAGCAAAAGCAGATCCAAGCAGCCCTGAAAATTCAGAAGCCAGATCTGTCTTCTCCAAAGGTGTGGGAAGGAGGAAATAGCAACACCCAGGTCAAGTCAGGACCCACAATTTGTTCAAGAAGACATGCAGCACTTCCTTTTGCAGCTGTCAGACACAGCATTTCTCACATGCGCAGCAGGAGACATGAGCCCTGGAGAGAAATCTGCCTGGGAAGTGAGACAGCCAGGCAATCCCAAGGCTTTACTGTACCCTCCCATTTTAGTGAGACAGTAGAGTTACAGCTATCCAGGGACACCCTTGCCCTGAAAGACAGCAGCTGTGCTTCACTTAAGTGCCCACTTAAGAATCACAGGAGTTGGAAGGACCTCAGGAGATCATCAAATCCAAACCCCACCTAAAGCAGATTCCATGCAATAGGTCGCACAGGTAGAAGTCCAGACGCCATTAGCCTACACATGCTGCTCACTGTGTCCCCAAGAGATAAGTCCTCAAGCCTGCCAGCTGTCACAGGGCTGACAGAGTAAGGAGAGTTTTACATGGCATATTTCCCTGCTGCACTCATATTGCTTATGTACCACGTTGTGCAACACGGCCTCACCCCCACACCCAAGAAAACATAGTTCTGAAGTTAGCCAGAGTCCTACATGCACCCAAAGGCAGCATAGGCTTTGACAAAATGTCAGTCCCAATAGTGAATTTCTTCAGTCTAATTAATTGTGCTCCTCTGTTCTACGGCATGGCTGGATACTGTCCATGCACAATATGCTCTAAAGGGACAGTGTCTCCTCAATTTGTTTTCCATCTATCATCCATCCTTCACCTTTATAGCCACAATTTAATGATGCTTCTCATTTTGGACAGCTTCAAGCCATACACATAAAACTCCAGCATCTACCACTGCAGTCTAAGAAGAGAACTGGATGCACTGGTTTGGATTGGCTGCTCTGGCCTGGGAGGACATTGAGTCCAGCCATCAGCCTGATGCTCAACTTATTTTGGTTACCAGAATTGTAGACTCTTCCTGATCCCTTTGTTATCTCTTCCCTTTGTCATGTTTCTGAGCAGACAGTCAACAAATGCTTTTTGGATTTCACCAACTCCACTACACACATTATTAACCAATACAAGGGAATAGGTGCCTAGTAGGTCAGGCATAAGATGTCCTATAGGACAGACTCCATGGAAGGGGGCAGCCCACCTAGTAAAACAGCTGGGCAACATCACTTCAGGGCATACAGCCTGCCACCTGGCTCTGGAAATCACTGCTCTGGCTTTCCTTTTTTCACATTATGTGGTGAAGAGCTTAAGGACAGGCAAAGTTTCATCTATCCAAGCATCTCACCTTCAACATGGCCTAAAGTAAATACCTTGAGTAGAGCATAAATAAGCAGTGTAGGCATGCAGCAATGATTCCTGAAGGTAATGTCCCTATTTCTAGCAAACACATTTCAGGGACATTCAGAGCTAAAGGTGAGTTGCTGTTATTAGCTCCCAACACTTCTATTTTCTGTGAACCTGTCCATACTCCCCCATGATTTACACAGTTACGTAAAGCATCTGACACATGACAGTAATTTTTATGTAGTCAGAAGTACTCCTGATTGCAGAGATGAAATGTGAACAGAGGGCTAAGAAAGATACGTTCAATTGCCCCATGTTTTGACAGATGAGTCTTTGTACTGCATTTTTTTTTACCCAAGGGGTTTGGATGAGTGCTCTAGGCTCCTCCAGTGTTTCAGTCTGCATCTAGACAGTGGTTGAATGCCACCCCTCATGTCTCTTTCCTTCCATTGCAGACCTAAGCAGGAAGAGGTGGGCAGACGGCTGTTGGCCCACAAGGCTCCCCTCTGCCAGACAAACAGTGTGACACTCAAATACCTGCCCAAGAATCGGTTTTGGAGGAAGGATGAGTCACACATTGTTGGCAAGTTCTGTGCAGCTCCACTGCCTCTTGGTAACAAGTAAGTCACAGGAATATCTCCCAGGGATGCACAGAGCTGGGAATGAAGTTGGTAGTATACACCAATGCATTCTCTTTCAGTTTTGATAAATTTATAAAGAGGTCTTTCTCATCCTTCTGTGTCCCCATATAAATAATTTCCTATTCATGAGACTACAACCAAGGTAGTTTTCCATGAGTTTTCTTCAGTTCTTCACTCAGGATAAAAGTGTTGCACCATACAGGGAAAATGCCACTCACCTCACCTTGAAGACAGTGAAGTCACAAACCATGACAAAAACTCGTACTAAATGGAATTGTTGGTTTTGTCCTCCTTGTTCTCTTCATCTTCCCCATTCCTACAATGGGTCCCCATTTGAAACATGATGGAAATGCACATTTTTCAGGATAAGATAACAGAAGACCATAGATACAGATGTGTGTGTCTATATGTACACACACACCTCACACAATGTAACAAAGCACTGAGGCTGAAGACAACCATTCTGGCCCTTTTTGGAGCCAGACACTGCAGGATACATACCTTCAGCCATAACTACCTTCTCCAGAGCTAAAGCAACCAAGACCTTCTCATTCTGAAAGAGATGCCAATCTACTCCATAGACTTGTCAGGACTGTTGCAGATCCTAAGTTCTTGTAGGCAGCACAAAATAACTGGGTCCATACAGATGCATTATACTCTTTCCATACTGTTACTGAGCCAACACTTACCTTGGCTCCAGGCTGAAGCAAGCCAGTGGGTACTCCAAAGCAGGGAAACCAGCTGTTCAGACTCTGTTCTGAAGGGCAACAAGGGAAGTCAAGCACAAGGCAGCAAAATATATTATAGGCCCAGAGAAAATAGTCATTCCTTTGTAGATTTCAGGCATTTAAGGGTAATGACTACTCCTCATTAGCATGCTTAGCAGAGCAAAGAACTACGAAGCAGTGATGGATATGCAGATATGTGGCTTTTTGCCACTTATGAATGGGATAGCATTGCACGTGGCCTTGAAATTTGCTGACCTGCACCACTTGAGTGCTGGATGTGATGCAGGTGGGAAGCTGTGAAGTTGCACAGGTTCACAACTACACTCATCACGCAACTGCTCAGAGCAGCAAAGTCCAGCCGATTCATCCCAGCTCAGCACATGGTCACCGTACCTTTGCAAAGCAACACAAGATCCATCAGCAGCTTGCTTGTCCCTTTGTTAGAACAGCAATCCCTGCCTGCTAAAACACAGTCTGACTTCCCTGTGCTCTTCCCACAGCAGGACCACGTTCTGTCTGCCCAGGATCCTCACTCTTTATGACAACACAGAACTCTCTCTCCAGCTGTCTGCTGCTTGCACCTAGTACTGCTTTTGGAGCTCACATGCATACCCAAAGCTGGGAAGGAGTCCTAACCTGCTCCTGCTCTCTCTCACGGATGACACTTTCATTACAGAACTGGATGGGTGTTATTTTAGTTCCTGCATTCAGGAGTAGGTATCAAAGAAAAGAAGCAAGAAGTACATCAGCGATTACAAGACTAAGCAGTTACAAGACCTCTCAGTAAAAAGACTGTATTGGGACTTTTATCTCACAGATTCTGTTCCCAGATCTGAAAAGTGAAATAGACAAGTCATTTAATCTCATGATTTGAATTGCTATGAAACAAGAAGATAATTTCAGTCTCCTTACACAGGGAGTATTAGGATGATTCATTTGTGGTTTATTAAAGTGTCCTGAGATCTTTGTACTAAAGGTGCAAAGTATTATTTATCTTCAGAATGAGGAGTTTAGTTTTGGTTCAGTCTTGGCATAAGAAAGCATTACAGAATCATAGAATCATTTAGATCAGAAAGGATTTATAAAGTCATCAAGTTCAACCATCATCTAACGCTACCAAATCCACCACTATATCACATCCCTATTGCTTTGGCAGCTTTCCCCAGTTCAGAACTCACTTCTACCACTACAGGACACCTTCAGCCTGAGAGTCTTGATTTCATGTAAGTGCTCATGCTATGTAATCGAAGTGGATTCTCACCCCATGACAAGACTGTAGCTCTTCTGGCTGTTGGTTTGTTCTCTTTGAAGCTCATGGTCACCAGAAACATAGCAGTGTTCTTCCATACAATTTTGTACTGCTTTAAAACAACTACCCAGAACAAAAGATAATAGAACAGAGCACTGCAGGTACAGGACTACCTAACATAAATTAGTCCCAGGAACTCAGTGCAGCCTTTTAGGCCTTGAAAAGTAGCAGATGTCTGGAAAGTACTGGCAGAAGCCTACAGTAAGAGGAAAACATACACTCACAAGCAGCCCTCATCCGTTCCACCCATTTTCCACCACCTTGATGCATCTGCAAATTAAAGAGGACACAAGTCTTCCCTTACTGCTGCCCCAAATCCACACATTCTGCAGATCTCCCTCTCTGGTTCTCCGAACTGGCATCATCGGGTGACACAGAAGCATAACAGGAACACCAGAGTCAAGAGATAGGAACATACTAAAGGCATTTCAGCCTTGAGAAAGCAGAAATGTCACTTGGCATGAGCTGTCACTCCACCACACATTGTCAATGCAGAGTTACGTCCTCTCAGCTCAGCAAATGCCAGATCCCAAGGCCTCAGACATCACTTGGAGGAGATCTGTCTGGTGGGGAAAACCCATCAGCCAACTACTGCTGCTGTTGAATGTGGAAGATGTTTTTTCCATTTCCACACTTCCTCCTAAGGTGTTGCACTACCTTCTCCTTCCTAGTGGCTGCTTTCCCCAGGGGCTTTTTGCTCTCACTCATATCCTTCACTGTGTGCACAACCCGAGACCAAGCCCCACTGAGTACAGAAATGCCATTTCAGACTCTCCTTCTCACCTGAGTCCCAGTTTCTCCTCTTCCTTATTCCAAAAGACACAACTCAAACCCTTTGCCAGAAACTGGTATTGTCTTTGATAAGCAGTGCTTGCCAGCAGTGAGAAACCAAGTCCCTAGAAGGACCCTTACTACAGCAGATGCCTACTGTGATGTAATAGATCCACTCTCCATATTCTGCCTTCAGATACATGCCCATTACCAAAGCCACCAGGCACCCCCATTTCTCACTGTACTTTTCCCCATGGCTTTCAAACCACCTCACATTCTTCAAGCAGCATTATCACCCTCTCCAAATCCTCAAACACCACCAACTTCTCCTCTGTCTTTAATTGGAATCGTTAAATCAAAGGGAACACAGATCCCGTGAGCAGCTCATGCTGCTTGCAGCCGTACTGCAGTGCCATGGTACCAGGCCTGCCAACATGCCCTGGACAGGCAGGACTAGAAACCAAACCAGGGAATCACCCTGGGGCCAGCAGGTTGAAGCAAACATTGTGGAGTGGGAGGTGCTGGAGGGTCACTGCAGTCCCACGCGTGTGCTTCAATGTGCTCCTGAGTGTTCGTGTCCATGCAGGCAGACATTTTGGTGCGTTCTACAGAGTGTCCATCTGGTCAGAAAGGTGTGTGAGTACACACGCCCCCCAGGTGGGGCTTGGGATCCAAACAGCCTGCTGTTCCCTAGAGCTCGGGTGTCTGCGTGGGAGCCAGGGGAGCTCGTCCTTTGCAGGGAGCAGGAAGGTGGCTCCGGAGGTTCTCAGAGGCTGTGGAAAGAAAGCAGTGGAGCAGGAAGGAAAATTAAGGGGGAGAGAAAGAGACAAAGAAAGAAAGCATCGTTAGTGTCAGAGGAATAATTCTTACTTGTTTTGCAAACCTTTCCAAGACACAAACCTCACAGAGCTCGCCATTACTTTTCCTCCTCCCCCTCTCCTGTTAAATTAGCATGCAAAACCATATAATTCTTCCACACACAATAAATCAGAAAATGTTATCCAAGCACACTGAGGCAGCAAAACCAAAGCTTTTCCAAGCACTTTCTGTGATACCACTGGAACAAAGCCCACAGCTCCTTTAGTTCTGCTCGCAAAGCAGGTGTAAAAATTCCTACTAACATAGACACCAGGCTACAGCCCATCGAGCACCCATCCATTTTGGCCACCCAAGAGAAAGCCAGCTCACAGATGCAAAACTAAGTAGCAGCAGCTACGCATCTTGCAAGCATTTATAGAACAAGCCAGAGCGAATGCAATATGGAAGGGGGAAAAGGCAGGTGGCTTCTGGTTGTATCAACTTTCATTCAGGGATTAAAGCTTTGTTTGCTAGGGAACACTGGGCTATACAGCAGTATGCTGCTAAAGCAAATTTTGAACAGAACCCTTGAACCTGTCTCTTCTAAACAGGCGAATTACTGAAACAGCTGTTCTCCTGAAAAAGCATGTGTTCTTCAGTAGGATAACACAGTCTGTTTGCTTGCAAGCAGACTAGAAATTCTCTCAAGGACTAGATGATAAGTCCAATAGGACAACACATCTCACAGAAACAGCCTCAAGGTGCAAGGAGGAGGTTTAGGTTGGACATCAGGAAGAAATTCTTCACAGAGATGGTGACCAGGGATTGGAAGAGGCTGTCCAGAGCAGTGGAGTTCCACTCCTGAAGGTATCTAAGAGATACGCAGATGTGGAACTAAGAGATGTGGTTTAGTGATGAGATTCAGTAGATCACACTGACTGTTGGACTTCATGACCTTGCAGGTCTTTTCCAACGGAGATCTATGGACATTCAAAAATCACTGTAGTCATTCAGAAATTGTGTCCTGCATTGTGGCATAGCAAGGTGGCAATATCAATGAAAAGAAAGGTGATTTGCAGAAGCACTCCAGCAAGAAGAATTTAGAGAACCAGAAGGTAATTACCCAGGCTGGAAGCTGCTCAGGAGACAGATGAGAGCTCAGGACATGGGAAAGCCCCAGGAAAGCTCTGAGACCACAGCTATTGCATACTCAAGCAAGGATGCTGTGGGGACTATCCCTGTTTACTGTTTTCACCATTTCTAAGACAGAAGTTACAAAAGTGCTTGTTCCCAGTCAGGAGGGAGAACAGCAGCTCCTCTCTAGCACTACCTTTTGCTGTTAAGTGCTCAGGTCATGGTGGAACAATGTGCTGGTGTGACAATTGACAAAAGGAAGACCATCCCCTTCCTCCACTGCAAATACAGGCCTCTGGAACATTCGGTCTTCTATCACAAGTCTCTACTCCAAATATCAACCCATGCTGACATTGCCTCTGTCCCAAGATCCAGAAAGACAAGAGCTTCCAAATGTTTTAAGAGGACTTTGTGACAGAATATGGACCTTTGTGTTGCATCCCATGAACTTTCCCTAATGCAGATGTAAACGAGCACCTTTTGCATGCATGTTCACAGTATCATCTTATGCCAAATACATTTGGCTGAAAGGTTCAATTGAAGAAAAGCTGTGGTATTCCTTGCCTCCATCACTTCCTTTCTTATTTTTTTTAATTGCATTTGAAATTCTGATTTTACTGAGCTTCATCTACCAGAAGAATTCTGCCAGTGACCTGGGAATGGATATCCTAGCGCTGAGAAAACAACATACAAGCACAGACAAAGTGCCCATTTACAGCACTAACTGCATTTATTTTTGATTGCATCTATGCAACAGAAATGCCTGACAGTTAAGAGAATGACTGTCTCATAACTGATTCATGTTCCTGCTTCTCCAAGTAAGGACTGAAAAAGCTTCAAGTTTGTACCTCCAGCAGCCTACAGCCTAACTGTCAAATTAGGAGAACTCCTAAGCTAGAAAATAAATAAGGATTTTATTATTTTTTTTTTCTGCGAACCATTTTTTTTTTTTAAACTAAGCAAAACTCTTGCTGATTTGTTTTATTTAAATCCAATTCAAGGACAACCAAACACACTTGTTCCTCTCCTGGCTAGCTCCATCATATCCCAGATTTCAAGTCAGTAGATGAGGAAATGCAGGAACAGGCACATGGCTTAATTCAAAGCAGAATGGTATTGGACAGGAAGATCTTCCAGCTCCACTGCTTTCAAAACTCTTTTTAACTTTCTTGCAGACTCAGCTTGGACTTATGCAGTGGTCACTTCTAGGACAAAAATCCCAGCTCTATGCTTAGAGACTAGCAACTGGCTGCCAGAAAGCAGCATTTCAAGACAGCAGGAATGCACATTTGGAGACTGCAGCTGGTGTGCAGCAGCTGGCTAAATGTAGCTCAGCATAGAATTTATCTCTCAGTCACTTGTATGTGAATTTCAAGTATGAGCCACTCTACCAGGTATTTCTGTTCGCCTGTACTGCCCCAATGTCCCCAAGCCCAGCAATTTCCTTCCCCAAGAGCAAGGAGCTGGCATTTTGGAGAGGAGCATCTTATTCCCACTTACCAGAAAGTAGAGCTTGGGGCATGTAAAAACAACATTTTACATTTGGCCTTCTGCGGTTCAGGGTCATTGGAGACTTTGAACAATGCACAGTGCTCCCCACTATCCATCCACATTAAGACCTAGAGGTGGTTTTACTTGTGCTGTCCTCAGTGAGGTTGTCAGCTCCCTTACCTGTATTTACCCTCCTCAGTTCCATACCAGAGTATCTCCAGTCACAGCTCTACCTCACATAAGCAGGCTAATCCCATGCTGTCCTTGCAGATACCCATACATCCCACTAACCTGGATGTCATTATAGTGCCTCTGCCTCCACAGGGGGATGGAGAGGACAAGGCAGGAAGGAGCTTCCTATGAGCTGGTGACCAGTCCTTACACCCCACTGTGTGCCTGTTGCCTGTAATTAAGTTTTTACCTCCTCCTGCTTAAAATCATGCAGGTCAAGGACATCTCCTTGAGTT